GAGGCATCGAGGTCTGTTCGCAGTAACTACGATTTAGGGTTTTGGGTTTTGGGTTTAGGGTTTAGGGTTATAATTAAGGTAACTATGCTTATATTTACTTATAACCCCGATTAAGGGACTTATAACCTTACTTACTAAGTCCCATGATCCTCAACCCTAAACCCTACACCCTAAACCCTAAACCCTAAACCCTAAACCCTAAACCCTAAACCCTAAACCCTAAACCTTACTTACTAAGTCCCATGATCCTCCAAGTACCCATTAACCCGGGCCGTGATCGCGAAGGCGGCCGCTGCGACTCCGTCGGCGGCGTGGGCCACTGAGGCCTTGACTGTCCAACCCAAGACCTAGACCCTAAACTGTCGATTCTTAGGGTTTAGGGTTTAGGGGTTTAGGGTTTAGGGTTTAGGGTTTAGCCTGAAGCCCTAAACACCAAACCCTAAAAGGTGTGCGCTAGGTCGAGAACTGTCGGGTTTCCTTGGTTGGGGGTTTGTGTGTTTGGGTTGCCCGCCTTTCGGATGCTAATAAATAACGATGCGTTGCAACGGCCTGTCAATTCTTTACTGAAGGTGACGCGCAGCCCATCTTTTTTGCCCTCACACTCCTCTGGTGAGTCTGAGCGTTTTTCTGGAACAAGCATTACAAGCATTACAATGAAGCGCACAAGCCGTTTGTTCAATCCAGAGTGCATCCACTGCACAGCGTTGTCACTCGGCCAGACATCGGCTGAGAGCGGAAAGATCTCGGTCCGAAGTCGCACCCGTTCATCCATCTGCTCGTGGCTGTCGCAGATGTCCATGTCTACGTCGGCGGCCATGATGTGGTTATACCACTCCTGCTGCGACTTCTGCGGCTTGTGCTTCTCTGTCACCTGTCGATAGAGCCTCGGAAGGATTTAGTACACGTCGGGATTGACGAGTTTGAGCTTCGAATTTCGGACTGAAGCTGTTTAAGTTGAAGGTTTCGGGCTCTCCTCTTCGTGTCACGCCCCGGTGCGAAGGTCTCTTCCATTGCAGGAAGTAAATGTAGGGGCCTTAATGATTAGACTAGGGTTTTGGGGCTAATCACAGTAAGGAACCCCGAAAATAGTGTAGGTAATTATTAATGCCCGTCTAGTACATCAGCTTTCTTTCGCCGATGTCCATCCACGGTCTCTCATGACCTCCCTCTTCCCTAAACCCCGTGAGCCTTGAGCCCTGCGATCGTGCAGAAGGGCACAAAGCCATCCTAAAGCCTAAACTTAAACCGTTTAGGGCTTAGGGTTTAGGGTTTAGGGTCCTAAACCCTGGACCCCAAAACCCCAATACACTAAAACTCAAAACCCCCGAACAATAAACTCTAACCCTAAATCCCAAACTCTCAACGCCTAAACCTTTAAAACTCTAAAACCTTAAACTCCAAAACCCTAAAACGCCAAACCCTAAATTTACTAAACGCCAAAATCCTAAACCCTGGATCCCAAAACCCTAAAACCCAAAACCCCCAAACCCTAAAACTCTAAACACAAATCCAAAACCCAAAAAACCTAAAACCCAAAAACCCAAACCCCAAAACCTTAAACTCTAATTCTGTATCCTAAACTCTCAACGCCTAAACCCTAAAACTCTAAACCTTAAACCCCAAAGCCCTAAACCCGCAACGGCAAGTCTGCGTCCCCCCACGCGAAGGGAGCCACTGAAGGAGCAGCAGGCGCCTCTGCGGATGATTGGGTTTCGGGTTTAGGGTTTCGGGTTTTGGGTTTGAGGATTCTTGAAGTTCCGCTCAGAGTCGGTGAGGTCTGAACCTTCAACACGACAGGCCCTCACGCAAGCTCAGGCATATGGGTGGTTCTCTAAATTAGGGTCCTTTTTCGGTTCCTTTTTATAAGGGTTCCGTACCATATTCGGGACCCCAAAAGGGACCGGAATTTAGAGAACTACCCATATGCCTAGGCGCGAAGTCTAGAGATTCCAGTTCAGCACCCCTAAACCCTAAACCCTAAACCCTAAACCCTAAACCTTAAACCCTAAACCCTAAACCAGGAAGGCGAAGGGACTGGAGGTTTTCTATGAGGTTGTGAGTTTTGGGGGCTGAGCACTTCTATACTGAACTTAGACCCCTAGCAAAAATTATAATTTTAGCTGCTTCTTAGGGTTTATAGTAGCCAAAGATTAAAAAATATTTCTAAGTACCCACAAGACTTAGGGATTCAGGGTTCAAGAGCTCAGGGCCTCGGAGTTTGGGGTTTAGGGCGGCAAGGCAGGACGAAGGCTGCCTGAACCTGCGAGGCAAGCTTTCGATAACCTCTGGGCTGCGGACAGCTGGCCTTGGCAGAATCCGGAAGGTGTAGGGTGTAGCATTGAAAGCCCTAAACCCTAACCCAAACCCTAAACCCTAAACCCTAAACCCTAAACCCTAAACCCTAAACCCTAACCTAAACCCTTGGTTTAGCTATGGGTTTAGGGTTTAGGGTTTAGCTCACTAGCTCACGACTCTTCGAGTCGAAACGCATCACTCCCAAACTCAACGCCCGACCCTGAACCCCAAAACCTTAAACCTCAAGCACCCAAGCCTAAAATGAAGAAAGGGCCCTCCCCCCCACCCCCCCACCCCGAAACCTCGCAAACTCGCAAACCCCAAAGCCTGACTGACCCTAAACCCTAAACCCTAAATCCCAAACCTGAGAAACCCCGACACCCCAAAGCCTAAACTTACCATAACCCTAAACCCTGAACCCCAAACCTCAGAACCCCCCCACACCCCAAAGCCTAAACCACTCCAAACATGCCGCGGGCCTCGGGAAAGGCGGGGAAGGAGGCAAAGTCAGTGGATGCTGGCGGAGGTGCCTTAATTGAAGGGCTTAGGGTTGTAGGGTTTATCAGGGCCTTAATAATTAGAATAGGGTTTTGGACTATATTATACCATACTCATAAAAAGAACCCCCGAACTAATATAGGTAATAATTATAAAGGCCCTTGCGTGAGGGGTTTCTGATTTAGGGTTGATAGGGCCTGGATGGGCGCGGCATCCCAGCTGACCCAAACTTGCACGGCGGTAGCGGCAGCCTGTCGAATGGCCGATGCTTCTGGATACCAGGTTCACCACGGGCTCCTCCAGCGCGATGTGGAATCGCACATCTGTCACTGCCTCCTCGGTCTTGGCGGCTTTTCTCTTCTCTTGGAGCTCTGCCAGCTCTGCTCGCTCCGCTGCGTGTCGCCTCTGCATCTCGCCCTCTTTGCCTGCTGCGCCTGCCGCCGGCTCGGCCTTCACCTCGTTGCCGCGACCGGATGCTGCAGACTTTGATTAAAGGAAACTGC